GGTGTCTGGCATTAATCTGGGAAAGTATTTYTTCTGTTCCTTCCTCCCTTCTCCTTATAGCATCTCATTAGTGTTTATGTTAATTCATTTGTAGTTGTTCCACAGTTCTTAGATATTGTTTCTTTTTTTCTTTTTCTTTCTTTTCAGTTTCTTTTTCTCTTTGCTTTTCTGTCTTAGCAGCTTCTGTTGACATCTCTCAAGTCAGCAGATACTTCATCTGTGTCTAGTTTATTAATGAGGCCATCAAAGGTATTCTTACATTTGGGTTGTAGCTTTTTGATTTCCAGCACTTATTATACGTTTTTCTTCCATTTTTTCCCCTATTTACATTACTCATCTTTTCTTGCATGATGTATACTTCTTCCTCCCTATAAGAGCCCTGTGCATCTTAATCATACCATTAGTTGTTTTACATTTCTGCTCTGACAATCCAACATCCCTATCATTTCKGAGTCTGGTTCTGAGGCTTGTTAAGTCTCTACAAACTGTGGAGTTTTGCTATTTAGCATACATTATTATTTATTCATTTATTTTTTAGTGGTGGGCATGCTATACTGAGTGAAAGGAATTCTGGTATGTAGGGCTTTAGTGATATGGTGATCAGATGTCAGAAAGAGTTCTCTAGTCCTATGATGAGGTCTCCATCTTTTGGGAGCCTCTGCCTGGGCTGTGAATTTCCATAGTGCTTCTCAGGTTTCTTCTCTCTGCCAGGCAGGACAAGAGGGCCAAAGGGGGCTGGAGTTGACTATTTTTCTTCACCTGTAGAAGGCTCGAGAAAATTGAAGCTGGGAATTCCCCTCCCTCAGGTTACTGAGGTTCTAATCAAATGCCAGGTGGCCTGACTAAGGGCAGGTCTTATTAAAAGGAGTAGCAGCATCTGGTGTTTTTCAAAATGGTTACTTCGGCCTGCCAGAAGGAGACAAATCCACTGTGCTTCTATCTTCACTATGAGACCTACTAGGGCTCCTGGAGGTAAAACTCACAGAAGTGTGAGGGTCCCCACGGATGTCCCCCCTGGAGTTTTTAACCCTCCTACATGTCCTCTGAGAGCCTCCAGCAGTTCATCAATCCCAGCTTCCTCCCCAGCGCTGGCKCCTGCGCTTTGACTCAGGTATGTTGTCATTCTGTGTCCACCTGACTCTTTCCACTTTCAGTGGCAGCAATTTGCCCTGTGACCATGATTCTCTAGTAGAACAGCTGTTGATTTTCCAGTTTGTTCAGTTTATTAGCACTCCTTCCAAGCTCTTTTGCATGCTGGAGCAGAGAACAGACGCCTTTTCCTTTGTCTAAAATGAAGATTTTTTTTTTGGTCCAGCGTGGAATTTAGTGAAAATGTCTATTTCCTAGTCACTGATGGTTATATTCCTTCCTCRTCTTTTTTGGCTAGAATTATTTCTTCCCCAAATACTTCTTAGCTGTTAACAATTTAATTCTTCTTTTCGGGGACTTTCATCAATTCCACTGTCTTTCTCAGAGTGCTAATGACAGGTGCTGCCCATGTTTTGTGTTTGTTAACAACATTTAAACAAAGACATGCTGTTTAAGTGGTCTGTGGTTCCTGATGTCCTGCCTGCCGGTCTCACTTTGTGAGTTGAGTTGTTAAAGCTGCACTTTATGCTGATGGTATCAGGAAAACAGCTTACAGAGAACATTGGGCAATAAGTGACAACTCCGAGCTGCATTAACAGATCTAGTTCTCCCTACACTTGTTACCCACGTTGAAACTTACCTATGTTTTGTATATTTTATGGTCCATTCACATTACTTTTATAATTATAATTACTTTTTTACAATCACTGGCTCTATTCTGTTAATTGGTCTTGGTAGATTCTGGTAATATGGTTCTGAAAGTTTTCCAAATGCTTCTACTGTGCAACCAAGGTTGAAACCTGTCTTTTACAAGGACTAGCAAACTATTTTTGTATGTGTGTGAAGGGTCAGATAATAATTGTGTTAGGCTTTGAAGATAAGCAAGTGAGCACAGTGGTGTTTCAAAAAAGCTTCATTTCTAGATACTGAAATTTGAATTCATATAATTTAATGTATCAGAAAATATTATTTGTATTTTTTTTCAAATATTTAAAAATGTGAAACCATTCTTTCTGGTGTACAAAAACAGGTTGAAAGAGGAATTTGGCAGGTGGGCTATAGTTTTTATGTGCTGGTTTATAGTTTCTCTGCTTTCTTGCTTCAATTTGGTTCCATAAGATAAAATGATTCCTTTCATGGTCACTGATAACACTTAAAAAAATTTTTTTTTAGTTATAGGTGGATACAATATCTTTATTTATTTTTATGTGGTGCTGAGGATTGAACCCAGGACCTCAGAGTGCAAGGCAAGCATTCTACCACTGAGCTACAATCTCAACCCAGTCACTGATAACATTTAAGTTAAGTCCTACCACAGATTCCTTATTGTTTTATATATATATATATAAAAAATCTTATCAGGACATTTTAAAACATGTCAATGCATGTCCTAAGTACTTGTAGATGTTGTAGTATCTGGAATGCTTTTCTCTATGTGGCTTAAAACAGTGTGAAAGTTGTCATTAAAATACAGATAGTTGTGTGGTTAATGCAACTGCTCTACAGTGTTATCATTGCACTTTATATCATTGTCTTTATATTGTATTATTTTCATTACCAGTTATAAGTGATACCTCTCATGTTGCAAAATGACTATAATAGCCTCAGGCATCACATGCAGACACTTAACATTCAGCAAAAAGGAAGAGCATGTTCTTCTATGTGTTTATTCTTAATAGTTAGGCAAACTTTTCTAGAAAAATCCTCCTCCTTTGAATATCTTCTCTTAGATCCCAAGTCCACATTGGTCCCAGTTGAAGAATTTGAAATCATCATATTAACAATCATGCCGCACCCCTGATGTTTGGACAGACCTAGCCTGCCTTAGGCAGGGAGTTTTAGAATCCCAGAACCAAGCCAGGGTTCTAATAGCAAGGAAGAAGAAGAAATGGCAATTGAGAATCAATAATCTCACACAGAACTAGATTCTTAGAAAAAAAAATCTAGCCAGGTGAAGTGGTGCATGCTTGGGAGGCTGAGACAAGAGGATCACAAGTTTAAAGCCAGCCTCAGCAATTTAGGAAGGCTCTGAGCAAGACTCTATCTCAAAATAAAAATAATTTTAAAAAAGACTGGGGTTGTGGCTCAGTGGTTGAACACCTCTGGGTTTAATCTCCAGTCCCAAAACAAAACAAACGAATAAACAAAACCTAAAGGATGTGTTTGAGCTTCTCATTTCCATTTGTTTATTTCCCTTAAAGAACTTAGAGAATTGTTCAGTACAATTTCCCTAAAAGAAACTTTATTGATTTTTTTTCACTAAATAGGTTATATTTTGCTCAGATACAACCATTATTTCTATCAGATTACACTTAAAAAGAAATACATCCCATTTTTGCTTACTTTGTTTTCCTAAGTTTATAAATGTTGCATATCTAGCCTAAAAATAGTTCATGTGAAAAAGTTAGAAAACACTATTTTTTTCATCATCTGAAATCATCAGTGTTGTCTAGTATGCATTTTATATTGTAAAAACAAATATTGTGTTCAAAAAATTGTGGTATTAAATAAGAATTATACATGACATCCCTAGCCTCCCTTCCCTGCCACCTCTCTGGGTTGTTGCTTTTGTTGTTGAAGAGCTAGGCATTAAACCTAGGGCCTCACACAGGCTGTGCAAGTGCTTTACCACTGAGCCACATCCCTAGACACTTTAATCAAATTTTTGAGACAAGTCCCTACTAAGTTGCTGAACTTGGGATCCTCCCGCCTCAKCCTCCGAGTAGCTGGAATCACAGGTGTGCCCAATGACTATCATGATTATTTTGATACATTGTCTCAAGTGGTAATACCCACCTCAACCTCCCCATGTGAAAATCACTGAGGGAGATTTCTATCAATTCCAAGCTCATCTGAACCTGCCAGGAGGAAAGCCCGACCCCCGCCACCAGCATGGCTGAAATTCCACCTGCTTGATGTTCTTGAGGGAAACAAACATCAAGCACAGAGGCAGCTGCTTCTGTTTAGGACAGACAGGTCAGGCTTCTGCTCCTTGATCTGCCTTTTAACATTGTGCGATGTTACACACTCAGCTCTAATTTTGATGTGTATAAAGCCAGAGTATGAATAATGTGTTTTGTAAGGTCTCTGTTTTTTCTTTACCATGTGACCCCAAATTTTGACCTTTATTTTCAATGTTAAAACTGATCTACAGTGTTGCTGCTGCTTAGTGAAGGCTGCAAATATAGTGGTGCTATATACTAAGATAATGATAAAAAGTGATGTAAGATAATGTGCTGGAGCAGCAACTGTCTAAGCTGCACTTTCACAATGTTCTAGTGTGAGACTTTCCTGTGTGACTAAGCCAAATCCTTTGCCTATTCTAGGAAGCCAATCAAAAGACAAGTAAGAATCATACTACATAGGAGGTAACTTTAGAGAGCTTTATTGTATTTTAACTAAAATATTTGTAAACATCTGTACTTTCATTGCTAATTTTGAAATATATTTCATTATTTACAACACTACCCCCACAGCTCTAGAGATGTCTTTTACTCCTTCTAGAACTCTCTATGCATCCTGAAACATTCACACAGAAGTGACACCATGAGATCCTGAAAAACTGATGCAGGTTAAAAAGGTGTATTTGGTGGCAAAAGCAGTTTTCCTTGGCTGGTCCAGTATTCTTTTTTCTTGCCTTTCAGAGCTGCTTCCTGTGCTCACTAGTAATTGGACTCCTCCCCCCACTTCCATCCCAGGGGCGGGTGTTCTGCATTTTGTGGGGAGCCTGGTCATCTTTAGTCATATGGGGGAACTTTTCCCTCAGGAACCTGAACGCAGGTTAACTGATGGACACTTGTCAAGCTTGCCCCTTAGCCTAAGGAGTGTGACTATGAACAGCAGCTTCTTGGGTCTGGCTGCCCTTCCCTCTGGGTCCTCTACTTTGGCTCATCCAGTCCAGGTGTCCCTTCTTAACACCGAAGATCCGTGTCCAGGGCCTCTWCCCCAGGAGGATTCCTGGTGGCCTCTTCGTAGGAGGGTGGCAAGCACACGGAGAAGAGGGTCCCTCCTGGACGCAGGGGCGAGTAGGGGATGTCCTGCTCGCTGCCCCAGGGCAAGCCGGGCAGGAAGTCGGGCCCGGCTCCCGCAGGRGGGCGCTCGGGGAGGTCGATACTGAACACCTGGCCCTGGGCCCGCGGGGCCTGGCAGCGGCGGTACAGRAACAGCAGCAGAAAGGCCAGGAAGAGCAGGACGGTGGCGGGGAGAAGGATGCACAGGAAGGGCTCCACGTCGGCTTGGGCGGAGCTGGCCTTCTGGGTGCCCTGGAGGTAGGGAAGGAAACTGGGTCAGCAGATGCGGGAGGGCAGGCTCTGGCCCTGACACCCCTTTTAAGGTCTTCTCCTGTTAATGTCGCTGCAGAGTCTCAAAATCACTACAGTCATTACGCCGCTGAGCTTGACCCCAGGTGAAATATAAAGCAAATTTACAGGAGAAGGTGTGAACTCAGAAGGTCAAAAACTGCGTACCCGTGACGGCGTACAGTGTTTCCACCAAAGAAAAAATAACTAGAATAAAATTTAGTTGGCAAATCTCCCACTCCTTATAATGGGAACTCCTTACCATTTCTGTACTTATTTTATTTAGAATTAGACCAATGTTTTATTGCCACAAAAGGATCACATGAAACTTAAAAATTTTTAATTCATGTGGTTATATGATCCTCCCACAAATGTTTGAATTCTCATTTGATGGTGGCACTTATTTTTTTTTATTGATTGTTCAAAGCATTACAGAGCTCATGATAAATCATCTTTCATTCATTTGACTCAATTGGGTTTTGAACTCCCATTTCTACCCCAAATACAGATTGCAGAATCACATCTGTTACATACTCACATTTTTACATGATGGCTTATTAGTGACTGTTGTATTCTGTTACCTTTCCTATCCCCTACTATCCCCCCTCCCCTCCCCTCCCATCTTCCCTCTCTGCCTCCTCTGCTGTTGTTCAATTCTCTCCCTTT